TGACGGTGCTAAATTTGGAGCCAATGAACAGGAGGCATTCCAATGATCTGTTCATTTCTAGAAATGCTTGAGCCAGAGGGACTGTTGCCTAGAGAACAAAGCCAAAACATTAGAATGAAATCGAGAGAGAAATAAGATTTCCTATTCTAAGCATAGCCTATGAGTAAGCACCTCTGGAAATTGTGTGTCAGAAAATGCATAGAGGCTCAGAGAGCCCTGGGAGGGGACCGGGATCCGTTACTCATCCCTCCGCGAAAACTTGGAGAAGGCCCCAGATCGTTGTTGCCTTCACGCAAATACTGTCATTTCACCTGAGCCGTACGTGATTTTAGGATGGGCACCACTTCTTTTGTGAACGAGTGGGGTGGTATCACGTGTGCACGCACACACCGGTGCAGGCACCCCGGTGCAATGCAATAGGACTTCCTCTTCCCTTGCAAAGCCTTAGATTTCCTCTTTGTCCCGGATTCACCTTGACAAACCCCAGTGTTGGTAGCAAAAGATGGTGATAAACAGTGAATGACAGCCAAGGGCAGACAATGACTTTCTTGTTCCCCTGTCATCCCAGTGGTCATAAGTCATTGAACATTTGACTCAAACAATTTTTGTTATTTTAATAAAACTTTCTCTTTCTTTTTTTGTTTAAATGGAGGTACTGGGGATTGAACCCAGGACCTTGTGCATGCTAAGCACACACTCTACCACTGAGCTATCCCCAACTTTTTTTAATGTAAAGGCCACATAGCTAGTAAGTGGCAGGGCTGGGACCTGCTGTGAGCCTGTCCCTGCTCTGATGTGGGAGCCGCACTGTGGGGCAGTGGGTTCCAGAAGGGCTGACGCCAAGAAAGCTTGGTCAGGGTCACTTGGCACAGGGCCTACAAAGCTGGCTAAGAGCCCACGATGTGTTTTTCCACTGGGGAGTCCCTGAAGATTTCTTTTCCCCATGTTTATGATCATTGGGATATCACAAGCGGATTATTGTTTCAGCCTCCGGGGGGTGGTTTGAGTAGGTGATATTGGCCTTATTTATCTTACCTTTTTATGTTTGCTGAGCACTTATAAGGGCTTTCTATACATTATCTATTTTAATCTTTACAACTACCCTGCCTATTAGGTTATAAAACTTCGTAGGTGAGTGAACAGAGGCCTACAGAAGTTAAGTGCCAGGTCACAGCTAGTAAGGCGCAATACAGGTCACCACCCAGGTGGTCTGACTCCGGAATCTTGACCTTCACATTACAGAGCGAGGGGAGTCACTGATTCTGCCTGAGGGGCTGGGGCAGGCTTCCTGAGGACCATGGGTCATGCAGGGCGGGCCAGGTGGGGTTGACGGTGCTGACAGCTGCCGTCCTGGTTTCAGGTGCCCTGCTGCAGGAGGAGAGGCTGGACGCGATGACCCTGCTCTACGCCACCTCGCTGCCCAGCTTTTGCCTGCTGGCAGGCGCGGCCCTGGTGCTGGAGGCCGGCGTGGCGCCGCCGCCCGCTCCCACTGACTCCCGCCTCTGGGCCTGCATCCTGCTCAGCTGCCTCCTGTCCGTACTCTACAACCTGGCCAGCTTCTCCCTGCTGGCCCTCACCTCAGCCCTCACTGTCCACGTCCTGGGCAACCTCACTGTCGTGGGCAACCTCGTCCTGTCCCGGATCCTGTTTGGCAGCTGCCTTAGCGCCCTCAGCTACGTGGGCATCGCGCTCACCCTTTCAGGAATGTTCCTTTACCACAACTGCGAGTTCGTGGCCTCCTGGGCTGCCCGCCGGGGCTTCTGGCGGAGGGACCAGCCTGGCAAGGGTCTCTGAGACCTGAGGGCTCACAGGGACCACCTGGGACAGCCCCAGCTTGAATCCAGCCTTGGCCTGTGGCCATGGGAAACGTGGAGAGCGGGCAGCCTCTGGGGCCCATGGGGAAGACAGGCCTTCCAGAAGGGCCACCTTGGAGGCTGGAATGGGGACTCCCGGAGAGACCCCTCTCCTGTCCCTGCCCGCCTCTCCTCGCCTCAGTCCCCACTCACCACTGGATGGTGGGTCCGAGCCCGGTGCAGGCACTGTGCCTGTGAGAGTAATTATTACAATTAGTATCAACTATGACGCCGAGTATTGCTGGCCAAACCGTGTTCTGATGGCGACGACAATGAATCTTGGCGGTCGCGCAATCCTTCCTCCAGGAAGTGGGGGAGGCAGCTAGGGGCCTGGGGAAGGGCTTCTTTGCCACTGGGCTTCCTAGGGAGTTGGGGTCGTCTGTGCCAACTCCAGGCAGCTGCTGTGGCCTCAGCCCCGGGCTCCCCAGTTTTGGGTCTTCCGTCCTCAAATAAACTATTTTTGCGTGGACACCTGTGTCATTCCTCAGGGGTGGCAGCTAAGGAAATATAGGGAGGAAGAAAAGGAAATATCGGGAGAGCAGAGGGCACACTGGCTGCTAGCCGCCCACACAGAAGCGAGGACCTCCACCATTACTGCTGTGGTCGGCCAGGCCCCCACCCCAGCCCTCTGCTCCGGCCCCTGCACGCCAGCCCTGCCCTGGAGTCTCTTAGAACACACAGCCTCTGTGGCTCCACACTGCTCAGGACAAGGTCAGATCTTCCTGCCCCAGACCACAAGGCTGTCAGGGTCTGGCCCCGTGGCCTCACCTCTCCTTGGATTCCGCCTTTGCTCCCACCAGCTTCCTGCAGGTTCCCACTGAGGCCAGGCCCACCCACCTGCACCTCTTCCTACATCTGCATCTCCCTTCTCACAGCTAAACCCTTGCTTGGGGGAGAAAACCCAATCTGCAGCTCTCCTCTAAAAGAAAACCCCAAAAAGGAAGCCTGAGGAAGGAAGGGCCTTGACCAGGGGCCATGCCCAGGGCTGTGGGAGCAGAGGGCAAGGAATTGGGGTGGGGGGAGCTCCAGGGCTGCCACAAGTCTCAGCTTGGAGTCTGCTGGGCTCCTCTCTGACCAGCTGTCCTGACTCAGATCATCACTCCTCTGTCCTTGACTCTATTCACTTAATTCCAGCCGCCACCTGCCTCCACTGGAGGCTGCCTGTTAAAAACCATAAGGACCCTGCCTGGGTTAGAGAGACCTGGGACCTAATCCTGCTCCACCCACCTCATTGCACCTGGGGTAGGTAGGTACTGCCCCTCTCAGCCTCGGCTTCCTTATCTGCAAAGTGGGCTGATGGTCCCCCATGGCGAGGATTCTGGTGAGAAGACTGGTGAGCAGGGCCAGGGGAGAGGTGGGTGATGGTGCCAGATGGCTTGGTCCCCATCTTGGGCTAGGCATCCACTCTCTGAGGCTCCAGGCCCATCTGGTAAGTGGGAGGGTGGGAGCTAGGCCAGGCCAGGGCTAGGGGAATCATTCGTTGCTTCAGTAGCCAGAATTCATGGATGTCTGCTGTGCCAGCCAGTGCTACACAGGGCAGCGTACCGGGTCAGCCTCAGGGTGGGGTTGGGGGTGGCGAGGGGCTGGTAGGCCCCTGGCCCAGGGAGGACAGATGAAGGTTTTCCCAGCATAGGCCTCCGCCCAGGCTGGCCTTGCCGAGGGGAAGTGGGCCTAGGCTGAGTCACTGGCCACCCACCCTCCCTGTGACTCAGAGATGCCACTGGCCCAGCCCTGTCCCATGTACCCTGGATACCTCTGGGCTCCACTCTGAGGCCTGGCCAGACCTGACAGGGATAGATGGCTTTGTAGGGGCAGAGCCTCCTTGGTACTCAGGACCCTTCCACATTCAAGGGGGCCCCCTGCCATAGCAGGAGCCTCCCGCAGTGACCTCGCCCTGGCTCCTGGGCCCCAGGAAGTGCTTGGCTTAAGAGTAAGTTTCCCATCTGATCGAAGCCAGCACCTGGCGGTTATAGGGGTGGGATGGGGGATGGGATGGCACTGAGGTGATTCCCTCAAGGGCAGAGTTGAAGCCCAGCTTCTCTCTCCTCCCAGCAGTGGGCACACTGAGCACTGGACTGGGAGTCAGAAACCTGGGCTTGTGTCCCAGGCACTTTTCTCACTGACAGGAATCCCCTCAGGGAAGGATTCTGCAGGTGATTCTCACTGACAGGCCACTGACCCTCCAGGCTCTGCTTCTTACTTGTTCTGTGGCCTGGGGCAAGTCACTTCACCTTTCTGAGCCTCCCTCCTTGTACCTAGTCCCTGCCGGGAATCCTTCTCGGAATAGCAGGTGTCACCATTCCTGGGAGCTCTTTCCACCAATCCCCGTCCCTGCCCTGCCCCTTACCAGGCTGGGTTGACAGCCACAGCCAAAGGTCACCCCAGATCCCCAGGCCGGGCCCTGAGCACACCTCACTCTCAGAGCTGGTTTATCGCCTTTGTCCTCTACTGGCCAGGGCTCTGGGAGGGCTGAGATGACCGCTCACTGCCGGCTCCCTGGCACCAGCACCAGCCTGGCGTGGATGGAGTAGGGGGAGAAGACTAGGCAAAAGCAGGGGTCAGACCTGGGTTCAAATCCCAGCCCTGGCAAGTCTGAGCTGTATGACCAGGGGTGGGGGGGGTAGGGTCGTCCCCTCCTGTGTGTCTGTGTTATTTGGGGGACAGCAGCAGAGCCCACCCTGATCTAGATCCTGGAGGCTAAGGCATGGCATGTACTTAGCGACAGTGCCTGAAACCTAGCGGGTCGTCAAGTAATGTTAGCTCATACAGATGCCTCCCAGCTCCTCTCCCAAGGCTTCTCATGCTCTCCTCCCTCCAGCCTCCCCCTGCCCAGCGAGGGCCCAGGCATGCCCCTGGCCTAGCTCCCACCCCCTCGCCCTGCCTTGGAGGAAGCCGGGCCTGTGCCGGGCATCCTGCCATTGTGGATTCAGAACAAAGCAGCTGCCTTGTCTTGGCCCCAGCTGCCAGGGGGCCCCTCCTGCCCTCCCCTGCGGGCCCTGGGATTGTCATTCCAGGGGGCCAGGGCAAACAAGGACTCTTCCTCTCTCCTCTGCTCCCCAGTCAGCTCAGGGACACCAGGAACTCCACCATCACACTGTTCCTGCTCAGTTGTACACCTCTTAGCAATAACACAGAATACAGGGGGGCTGTGGAAGGTTTTGAGCAGGTAAAAGTGCAGTAAAGCTTTCTGGATAATGGCCCTTCAGTTTGGTCTGGATCCTATGTGGAGGAGAAATTGAAGGGGCTTGTGGCAGGAGGCAGGGAGACCAGGGAACTATCACTGTGGTCCATTGGACAGATGACAGTGGGGACAGTGCCTTGGGTGTGGTGCAGGGTAGCATCTATTGTATTGATCTGGGGGAGCAAGTTATCCCCAAACACTATGGCTTAGAGCAACACATATAAATTATCTCCCGGTTTCTGTGGATCAGGCACCTGGGAGTGGCTGCGTTGGACAGCTCTGACTCAGGGTCTCCCTCACAAGGGGCAGTCAGATGTCACCCAGGACTGTAGTCACACGAAGGCTTGACTGGGGCTGGAGGGTCCACTTCCAAGACGATGCATTCACATGGCCGTAGGCAGGAGGCCTCCGTCCCGGCCATCACGGGACTACCACTGAGCTATTAGCCTCCCGCCACGCATGAGCATATATTTTCAAAAAGACATTTCTTAGGGTTTCAGTTCTGAGTAAGACAGAGTAAGCAGAGTCTGTCCTTCCATCTGAGTGCAACTAAAAACCCTGGGCGGAATGTAGGAAGCAGCTATCCGTGGACTTTGAGGAAGAAATGGTAGCAGGTGGATTGGGAGAGGGAACCAGAACTTGGAGTGTAAACAGTCTGGTGGCGAGTTTCTTGTTTTGCTTTTTGCTCCTGTATCTGCTGGCCATGGTCTCAGGGGCAGTGTGGACCCTGGAAATGGAAAGAAAAAACTCCAAGAGCAGCCCTGTCTTTCTGGTCTGAGGAGTAGGAAGAAGGGCCCCTTCAGGACAAACAGAATGAGGGAAATCCTTGTTGCCCTCTTTTTTTCCTCTTTTCTCGTCCAGCCCTGTCCCTGGGCAAGCCTCATTCTGAAGTTGAAACCGGGTGGGAGCAGCAGCGGCAACAGCCGGCAGAGATCCTAAAGCTCTGAGGGGCATCCTTCCGTCTGACCACAGCTGTGGCTTGAAGGGTGTGTTTCGAGGGGAGGCATCCCCTTGCTTTCCCCCCTCCCTTCATCCTGCCACCTAGTTCCAGAGCAGAAGAAGCCACAGAATGTGTACAGCAGAGCAGGCAGACTCAAGGCCTGGGTTCTAGCTTGGAGGCCAGGGGATGGTGGTCTTGAAAACTGGAGGGTGTGGGAGAAACTGTGGAGAGGAGGAGGCTTGAGACCCGGGTCCCCTAGATTCACAGGCATGGATCTGACCCCAAACAGTATTCCAATGACTTTGAGAACGAAACTACTATGTAGACCCCCCAGATTTCAGACGGGCTCCTGGGTGGCACAAACGTAGGATAGATCTGTCTTACACTGCAGAGGTTCTGAAAACCGAACTGATACTTGAACTATGGCCCTGTTAAAAAACAAAATTCAACAGAGTATATTTTAAAGATCTTACAGACTTTATTCAACGATTTATGAATTGGGCAGCATCCAATCTGGCACATAGGAAGAGCTCCAAGGAGCTGTACAGAATGAAAGACTTTCATATGCAGAAGGGAGCAAGAACGAGGAAGTTGTCTTAGGCAAAAAAGCGCGTTGGTTATCGCAAGGTTATTTTCCTTTAGGGGATGGCAGGGATCTATCAGGCAGATTGCCTAACTAGTGCTGAGGAGGTGACTCCTGATTGACTGGTTTAATATTTCATTTCTGGGAGAGCCAAAACTATAATTCAATTAAGTCTCAGCTTGGTGCGGTGGGGCTTAGCACAAGTGACTCCATTTTGAGCCTATTGTTTTAACAGCCTACAGGAGGCAGAACAGAACTGATCCTATGTGGATCAATTGCCTCCTAAACCAAAAACTCAACATCTTCCATAGGAATTACCCAAGACCTAGTCCCATAGCATAATATTTAAAGTGTCCAGGATTCAATCCAAAATTACTTTATGTATAAAGAGTCAAGAAAGTTTAAACACGGAGATGACCCAAATATTGGAATTATCAGAAAAAGACTTTAGAAATGAAAAGATAGAAAGTCTCAGCAGAGGCATAGAAGGTACAGAAAATAATCAAATAGAATATTTAACACTAAGAAAATACATTCACCAAAATTTGAAAATATACTAGTAATTGGCCTCAGTAGCAAAATGGAGGTGACTGAGGAAAGGCTGTGAACTTGAAGACAGAGCGGTAGAAATTGTCTGTGATATGCAGTATGTCCACCTCTGCCAAACACGTCCATGCCTTATTCCTTGGAAAGTGTGAACGTTGCTTTTTATGATAAAAGAGACTTTGCAGATGTAATTGAGTTTATGGACTTTAAAAATCAGGGCTGGATTGTTGGGTGGGCCTAGTCTACTCACATGAATCCTTAAAAGCAGAGATTTTTCTCTGGCTGGATTCAGAGATGCAGCAGGAGAGTCAGAGGTATTTAAAGTGTGAGAGGGACTCAACCCGCTCTTGCTGGAGGGGCCACGAAAGCACTGAAAGGAATGTGGGCAACTTCTAGGAGAAAAGAGCAGCCCCCAGCTAAGTTAGTAAGGAAATGGGGTCTTCTTCAACCACGAGGAACTGAAGTCAACCATCTCAATAAGCTTGAAAAATATGCTGGATTTCAGGCTTATGAAATCCCCTGAATTTGGCCTTGTGAGGCCCTAAGCAGAAGACAGTCAAACCTAACCAGACTTCTGACCTCCGGAAATTGTGAAGTAATAAATAGGTGTTGTCTTAAGTTGGTGGTAACTTGTTATGGCAGCAAGAGAAAACTAATACATTATCCAGTATGAATAACAGTGAGGCTGGTAAGATATTAATTTAGGCAGCTTATGAACAGTTAAGTATGTATATTATAGTCTCTAATGCAATGTCTAAAAAGACTATACAAAATTAAATGGAATACTTAAAAATATTAATAATCCAAAAGAAGGCAGGAAAAGGGAAATAGAAGAATGAAAACCAGAGAGGACAAACAGAAAACAGTAAAATGGTAGACCTAAGTCCAAATATCAATATTTTTGGTCTAAACACAGCAATTAAAGGACAAACTGGATATATGAAAAAAGACTCAATTATATGCTGTCTACAAGAAACCTACTTTCAATATAACAATATAGGTAGGCTGAAAGTAAAAGGATGTAAAAAGATACATCATGCAAATACTTACTTAAAACAAAGCTGGGGTGGTTGTATTAATATCAGGCAGAATAGACTTGCTAAAGAAAGATAATGAGACACTGGATGTTCATAAAAGGGTCAGTTCGCCATGAAGACATAACAATCCCAATCATGAAGCGCCTAACAACAAAGCTTCAAAGTACATGAAACAAAAGTTAATAGAATTGAAAAGAGATGTACACAAATCCAGTTTTAGCTGGATACTTTAACACTCCTCTTGGTAATCCATGGAACAAGTAACTAGAAAACCAGGAAGTGTGTAAGAGAAATGAAACCATTATCAATCAACTGGTCCTAATTGACATTTATTGAACACTCCATCCAAAATAAACCCCTTTTTCCCCCAAGTGCACATGAAGCATTTACCAAGACAGACCATAACCTACATCATTAAGTAAACATTAATAAGTTTAAAAGAAATGAAATCATACAATGAATGGTCTCTGACTGATGGAATTAAACTAGAAACCTGTAACAGAGAGATGGTTGTAAAACTTCCAAATACTTAGAAGTTAAACCACACACTTCTAAATAACACATGGGTAAAGAAGGACATTTCAAGGGAAATTAGAAAATGTGTTGAAATGCACAAGATTGAAAATGCAACATATTGATTTCTGTGGGATGCAAGGTCTCAAATCAATAATGTAAGTTTCCACCTTCCAGGAAATTCGAAAAAAGAACAAAATAAGCTCAAAGCAAGCAGAACTATGGAAATAATTAGGAGGAGAAATCAAGGAAATAGAAAAGAGAAGAACAATAGAGAAAATTAAAAATACAAGGTAAGTACTTCTTTAAAAAGATCTTTTAAAATTGATAAACCTCTAGCCAGACTAACAAAGAAATACAGAAGACAAATGATCAGTATGAAAAATGAAAAGGTGATGTTACTGCAGACCCTGCAGATAAAAAAGATGCTAAGGGGACACTATAAACAACTCTACATGCATAAATCTGATGGTTGGATGAAATAACCTATTCCTCAAAAATCACAAACTACCAAAACGCACCCAAGATGAAACAGATAACTTGAATAATCCTTTAACTATGAATGGAATTGAATTTATTGTTAAATCCTTCTGAAAAAAGCTCAGATGGTTTCACTGCTGAAGTCTACCAAACATTTAAAGAAGAAATAACACCAATTCATACATCTCTTCCAGGGACTAGAAGAGAAGATAATACTTTCCAACTCTTCCTTAACCTAATAAAGGGCAACTACAAGAAAAACCTATAGCTAACATCGTAGTTAACTGTCAAAGACTGAACACTTTCTGAGGTCAGAAATAAGGCAAGAACGTCTGTTCTCACCACTCATGCTCATCACCATACTGGAAGTCCCCAGGCTGTGTAATAAAAAAAGAAACTAAAGGCATTCAGATGGAAAAGGAAGAAATAAAACTATTTCTATTTGCAGGTGACATGACTGTCTACACGTAGACAGCCAAGGAATCTACAAAAATGCTCTTAGAATAAGTGTATTTATCAGGGTCACAGGATACGAGGTCAATACACAAAAATCAATTGTACTTCTATAGACGAACAATGAACAACTGGAAACCAAAGTTGAAAAAAAATTCTTTTTATGATGCCCTCCTTCAAATAAAATATTTAGGTGTAACTGTAATAAAATATATAAGCTCTGTGTGCTGAAAACTACAAAACACTGATGAAAGACATCAAAGACCTACATCAACGGGGAGACACACTGTGCTCACAGATCAGAAGAGTTCAAGTCAAGATGTTAATTCTCCCCCAGATTGGACAACAGATTTAATGTAATTTCAATAGAAATCCCAGCAGAATTTTTGTTGTTGTCGTCGATGTAGACAAGTTGCTTCTAAAATTTATATGGAGAGGCAAAGAAACTAAAAAAACCGAAACAATTTTTTAAAAAGGAAGAAAACTGGAGGACTCATATCGTTCGATTTTAAGACTTACTTTGTAGCTACGGTAAACAAGATGGTGTGGTATTGGTGAAGAGAAAGACACACATCAAACAGACAGTAGAAGTTTTGAAAGTACAAAAACAGACTCACACCAAGGTGCAAAGGCAGCTCCATGGAGAAAGGACAGTCTTCAATCAAAGGAAACCTCTGGACATTGACAGGAAAAAATACGAACCTCAAACTACCCCTCACACCTTATGCAAAAGAATCATAGAAATAAGTGAAAAACTTTAACTCTCAAACTTTAAAACATTAGAGAAAAGCTTTGTGATCTGAGCTTAGGCAAAGTTCTTAGACAAGACACCAAAAAAAAAAAATCCATAAAAGGAAAAACCGGTAAGTAGCACATCACCAAAACTGAAAACTTTTGCTCTGCAAAAGCCACTTTTAAGAGAGTGAAAAGACAAGCCACACTGGGGAAAAATATTTTAAAAATCCGTATCTGATAAAGGACTTGTATCCAGAATATATAAAGAATTCTCAACATTCAATAGGGAGAAAACAGCTCAATTTAAAAATGGGTAAAAGAGTTTAATAGACTCTTTCCTTAACATCATTAACCATTAGGAAAATGCAACTTAAAACCACAATGAGCTAACAATACACACCTATCAGAATGGCTGAAATAAAAAATATTGGCAGTTCCAAATACTGGCAAGAAACCGAAGCTCTCAGAGTGGGATGC